TTACTCTCCAGATGTCGACCGACCCTCGGCCCTGCAGACCCTGGTCATTGATTGTATCAAGACACTCTGCCTGGAGAAAGAGGACTCCCAGCCGGATATTCTCTTGTGTCTTGCCGAACTGTCCGATTCAGCACTATCGAAATGGAGCCCTGACAGCGACAGCCGAAGACCGGCGTTCGTGGCCTTCTCGAAGCGCACCATCGATCTTGTCAGCTGGTACATCGCCGAATTCGGCATCAAGCAAGATGTCTTCACGAATGGTGCACTTGCGAAATCCCTCGAGCACCTCGGTACTCTAATTACGCAAAAGTACACCTGGCAAGGCAAGGACCGCGAACCTTTCCTCTGGCAAAAGGCCACGACAGTGTCCCTGAACGTTCTCCAAGTTGCAGTCCCCTACGTGGAAAAGCAATACACAAAGACAAACAAGTCCGAAACATCCCAGTTCTGGCAACGCATCGTCGACATCACAAATGGAATAGTTTCCGCCCGCGACTTCCAATCCCAACAACTCCCCAACGCCCGACTCACCGCAGACGAAACATTCGACATAAAAGCCTTCACCCGCCTGAAGACTCTCATCCTCCCATCCCTCGGAGCAGCATCAATCCCAGACGCCGTCCGCCGCGACTTCGCCCGCGCTCTCTTCCGCTCCTCCTTCATTTACGCCCCCTCCGCTTCGACCTACCAACCACCGGTCCCGAAGACACACCCCTACAGGACTTCTACAACGTCCGCCCCGGCCGCACCTTCAACCCACCACCAACCTTGCGCCCGGGAATAGCATACGTCCTCATAGACACGCTCTTCGAGCTCGCCGCACACTCGCAAGCCAAGACCGAAACAAAAGCAGACGCCCCGTCCCCGCAGACCCTGCTCGCCCGCTCGATCTCACCCTACCTCCTCCTGCGCTGCGCGGTCTCGCTCAAGTCTTACATCGCAGACCAGCCGTTGCGCGGCTTGATGCCTCAGCCCACGCCTGCCCGCAAGGCGCTGCTCCATCTGCTCGTCCGCATGGTCGAGCTGAAGAGTGAGCCGTCGGCTATCCCAGATCCGCCTTCGCTGAAGACTGTCTCGGCTGTTAAGGGTGAGGATGCGGAGGAGCATCACTATCGGAAACATCTTGAGTGGATTTATCCGTTGGTTGTGCGCGCTGTGCAGGTTGCTGGTAAAGAGCGTGATGATGGGCAGATTCTCCAGGCGCTGGGGAAGGTGTTGCAGGAAATTGGTCAGTTGGAGTATTAGAGCTAGGACTTGGTTGTGGATAAAGAAAGGATGACCCCCGGGCCCGGCTGCGTGTGTATTATGTACTATGTGGCGATCAATGCATTGTTTTATTTTATGGTTATATGTTGTACTCTAGACTCAAGATCTTCCCGGACCAAGACATCGGAAAGGAGGACATTCTACAATCTGAATTTAAGGTGAGGTTCGATTTAGAATGAGGCTTGGCACGAATGTATGTTGTAGGCAGAGTAAAGTATACTACAGAAGTGATATCGTGACATAGCCGTGAGACAGGACTAACGGACACAAAAGGAATAGTGAGTAGTAGAGTAGTAGAGAAGTAGAGGACTAGAGGAAATTCGAGATCGAGACAAGAGGCGGGTATAGAAGAACAGATCCGCAGGTACCAAGAAGCTGTAAGAAAGACGCGAGCGACAATGAGAATAGAATGCGATAGTCTATGCTGCAGGCGCAGGAACAGGCTGCGGCTCCTGCCGAAGCGGCGTGGTGACTTCCCTGCCGGGACCAGCGGTAGCAGAGCCCGGTGGAAGAGCGGGCTGCTGACGCTGTTGCTCGAGGATCATCTGCTGCTGGATCTGCTGTTGCTGTGCGATCTGGGCGTTCGGGGCGATCTCGGGGGCTTGGCGGTAGAGCGCAATTTCGGATTGTTTGAAGTAGCGACGGGCATCTGTTATTTGATTAGTTTGAGACATTGACATTGTAGACCAATGATGTATCAGAAGGGAAGAGTATGGTAAATTGCATCGGTTAGAACCAGAAGTGGTTTAGCGTGGGGGTGTCGGGAATTGGGGGGGATGCAAATCGGAAACACATGACGCAACCCGGGCCGACTTGGATGGGGTAATTTCAATTGCCGACGGCTATTGCAGGCATCTTCCGTGTCTGCACCCCGCATTCTGGGATGCGCCATGGACTGTGATTTGAAGATTGCCAAGGACTGGGGAAAGAAACAGAGAAAGAATGGGGGGTAATTGGAGCGTACCTTCGTCAATCAGTACGAGACTGAGATAGTACCTTGTCGAGTACTTCTTGTTAACGTCGCGGAATGTCGGCGTCAAGTCAAATCCACCAAGGAACAGACGGATTGGAATGGTTTCACCTATGAAAAGTCAGCTATGCTCAAGGTTACCCCAAGCTTGCCAATCAATCCTCGCGAGAATCATTGAGACCGCGGGTTAATGGCCGTTGGGTCCACGGTTTGCGCAGTGTTCACTAACCTCTGGATGGCGAACCATCCATAATCTGTACACAAGTCAGCATTCCTATGCTCTGCGTTTCATACCCCCAATATTACATCAAGTGTTGTTCAATATACCACATACCTCAAAGCGCACCAAAGTCTCACTCTCGTTATATTGATTTGGCGGGGATCCCGTTGTCTCGCGCCGAATGATAGACAATTCCATATGCTTGATCTTGAGCCGCACGAGCAAGAAATAGATACGGCCAACAATCACATCCTTGAGATGATACTTGGATTTGGAATATTCGAATTCGATATGCAAGCAGTCCTCGATACCGACGTCCATCTTGATGGGGCTGTTATTCTCCGGTGGCATGCGGTATGAGTACACCCACAAGTCCTTCTCCCGAATGACATCCGCCATGCGCCGCGAGACAGTCACCCGGACAAAGTAGCGCAGCTTGACGTTGATACCATTGTAAGACTCGTATTGCTTTTCAACGTTCTTGAAATTGAAGGGGAAGGTCTGCGGGTGGAGCAGCTCGCCGGGGGCGGCGAGTTCCTGGACCAGGGAAAGGAATTCATAATGGTTGCCTCGGTCGTAGAACATCTCTGTATTCCGAAATAGCAAGGTGTTAGCGGCGAATCAGCGATGGCGAAATCCAGCTGGGAGAGGCTGGGTGGATGGTCCAACGCACCAATCGTGCCAATAAATTGCACCTTGATCCCCGTATGTTCGAGTCGCTTGCCATCCTTCGGTCTGATGGTCACGGCACCCTTGACGGACTCGCCGTCCATGTACAGAGGGACCCGCTCGCGGCGGCCCTTGTCGAGCTTGACGTCGACGGTCTGGCGCTCATCGAGGTCTTCGAGGACCACATCGATGTCGACCGGTGTGGAGAAGAAGAGGGAAGCCATTGTGGAGGTAATTGAGGCTGCAGCTATCGAGGCCCGAACCAATAAGTCGGAGCTTTGATGATCTGGAGCTGTCGCGGTGGCCTGGAGATGGCTTATGTAATACCGCCTCCCCGCCCCGCCCCCATGAACTGATTGACATGTTTTTGTATAGAAAATGGTGATTGCAGTATAAGATTGATTTGAATCAATATCTACATGCGATATTTGATATTCATTTCATTTCTAACTCCACTTCGTCTCCTCCAATGTTAAATCAATGTTAGTTCCAGAACTAACATTAAAGGTAACTAGTTACTGATACCATTGATCTACAACTACCCGTTGGACTCCGGACTCTGACTCTGGACTCCATGGGCTCTTCAGACATGTCAGATCCACTGACAGGTACCTCCTCAACATTACCCACCGATTGGACCTGAAGCCTGTCTACGCTGTCCTTATCCTCCAAACATCCAAACATCCAAACACAAAATTAGCCATACGGATCAAGGCCCAGCACACCCTGTAAACTACACCGGATAAGCATGAGATCGGATATGTCGGAATCCGCTTCCCGCCACAGTCAGTTGCCCTCGTGATCATGAAGAAAACCAGCGGAAAATCAATTTTCTCGTACAAGCAAATGATTCGACCCTTTTACCCCGCGGGAAGTTCCTTTCTTCCCCGGATTCTGAGGGGGGAAAATACGGCCTGGTCATGTTTACCAGGCACACACCGGGTATAGTCGGTGTGACTGTGGGAATCACCATGCATATTCATTCCCTGCTCATGTTGTCGTGTCTTTTCAAGGGTTGTATTCTATCGGATGAGATTGTATGTATTTCCCGGAATGTTTGTCCCCTCCCCCCTGTGTGTGTTCCACGGGATGAGTATCGGCAATCCGTGTACGGAGTACGGAGTACAATCTTTCAATAATCGGGTGGATCTGCGAATTTTCGAGAGTGTGGGGGGCCGCCTTTCGGTGTCGAGTTCCTCGGAGTGTTGTTCGGCACGGGACATGTGAGAGATAAAGGAAGGGAATGACACAGATATTAGTGGGATACGCAGATGTTAGTGGGATGAATACAAAATCTCAGCTAAAGTCAGGGGGAAATGGGGGGGGGTGGGAAAGGAAATTGACTTGGATTGGAACTGGCGGTGTCTTTCTTGTCCCTTCTTGTGTTTCTAGCGTGGGGGTGAGTTACCGTACCAAATACCGTGACATCATGGATTTGTATGGAGAATATGTGGTATTTGATTGGGGTTAATATATTAATATGTAAATGTGTATATATATATGTATATATATATAACTATAATATATATATAATCTTATATATGAACTTGATCTGAACGGCTATTCAACTCGGGTATAGAGATCACAAAGGTTGAAGATATCATAACTAGTTATGTACCCCATCTCCCCCCACTCGGCTTCTGGAATCTTTTCCTTACCCGACCCACTGTGATACAAAAATATATAAGTACACTTAAAGAAAAAAAGTCATACGCTTTTTATATTTCTGACCTTTTATTCAATAAATCTCACGCTGTTATAAAAACACATTCCCCCCCGTGTACTATCACTACAGCGTCATAATCTCCACCTCGACCCAAATTATTATTTTTGGATAATCATCCCAAATCCAAAAAAACATCTTCTTCCTACATCATGCTTTCCGCAGGGGAACGACCCCAGCCTCCTCACGCTTCCATAGTAGATTCTACCGTGAGCAAGGCGCGCATCATGCCGGATCTCATCAATGGAACCAACGGAGTAACAACCTCCAAACCAACACAAATGCAACATATCTGGGTTGTGACCGGTCCAGCAGGGTGCGGAAAGAGTACCGTCGGTAACGTCCTACGCACCGAGCTAGCCATACCATTCCTAGAAGGCGACGACGTAAGTATCCCCTCCCCCTCCCCATCTATACACCAAATCACACTACACACCATCCAAACCATCCAATTGCGCCCAACCCTAACTACAAATAACTAACAAAACACCACTCCCAGTACCACCCGACAGCAAACAAAGACAAAATGGGTCAAGGCATCCCACTCACAGACGAGGACCGCTGGGACTGGCTGATCTCCCTTCGCCAAGCCGCAATCGACGCGCTCTCCTCAGAAGACGACAACTTTCACCCACCCGCCGGCGTCGTAGTAGCCTGCTCCGCGCTAAAGCAGAAGTACCGGGATGTGATGCGCGTCGCTGCGTACGGCTCGTCCTCCGTGCAGATCCACTTCGTCTACCTCAAGCTCAGTGAGACGGTGTTGATGCAGCGTGTCACACAGCGTGAATCGCATTATATGAAGAGTGACATGGTGCACTCGCAGCTTGCGGCGCTGGAGGAGCCCAAGGGTGAGTGGGATGCTATTACAATCAATGTTGAGGGGACGATGGAGGAGGTGCAGCGCAATGTTATTGATGCTGTTGTTGAGAAGCTTGCTGAGTATAAATGATTCCCTTTTTTTTCTTTGCCCTCGCATCTTTCTGTGGGTTGATCGGGGGAGGCCACTGGGATTGTTGGTGATGTCTCATTGCCATGCGAAAATGGGTATGATCTATGCATGGAGGATTTAGCATTTTGTTTTTGTTTTTTGTTATTTTGTGGTTCCTCCCAATGGTGTTTGGTGTTTTGGCCGGCTTGGCTATGTCACCGGTCTGTTTTAGCTCTGGAGTTCTTGAAGCTCGCATCCAGAGCTTCTGTTTCATGCTGTTTTGATATATCAACTGTCTGGCTTGGCAGACTTCGTGATATCCTTTGTTCTTGTGGATATTCATATCAATTGACTTGTCTATATCTTTTTTCTCTCTATTCTCTGTACTATGAAGCTCAACTATAATATATTGGAGCTAGCAAACTACATAAACCACGCAGTGTCTTATGATGTACCCATAATTTGTTATATTTAGATACAAGTACTTGATCAAGAGGTGACCGATATAATTCACCTAAGATTTAGAAGCATAAGCTCAGGCGACTCAACTAGGTCCTTAACCCTGTTACCCATCCTCGCCATGGTTGCCCCATCAATGACACGGTGGTCCGCACTCCAACTGAAGTTAACCATATCCCCGCGTGTAACCTGTCCATCCTCATCAAAGACCGGTACAGCTCTAGACCTACCTACGCCGAGAATAGCCACTTCCGTCGGCACAATCACCGGAGCCACATATGTACCTCCGATATTGCCAATATTCGACACAGTGATAGTGCCACCACCGAGATCAGCGGGCGTCAACTTGCCGGCCTTACCAAGGGCACTTAGCCGCGCGACCTCAGCGGCAATATCGAAGATCGATCGGTTAGCGACGTCTTTGATGTTCGGAACAATCAGACCGTTCGGCGTATCCATAGCAATTCCGATATTGTGCTTGGCGCGCATGACTAGCTTTGGCTTGGTGGGGTCTGTGACATCGACTTTCGAGTTGAGGATTGGGAAATCGGTCAGAGCTTGTGAAACGGCCTTTACGACGAAGGGGAGGAATGTGATTTTGGTAGGATCACGTTTGTCGCTGGCGAGTTTCTTGCGGATGGCCGTGATGTCGTTGACTTTGAGTTCGTCCGCGTAGAGGAAGTGTGGGGTGTTCGCGGATTTGGTCATTGTCTTGAACATTTGTGATTGGATCGGGGTCAGTTTGACAATTGACTCTGCTTGTCGTGTGTCTGCTGACGCGGAAACGGGGGCGGGTACTGATGTTGGAACTGGAGCATCTCTCTCTGCTACGAATTTTAGGACATCTTCTTTCATCACCCGCCCGTCTTTGCCGGTTCCGTTGATTTCGAGGATGTTCACCCCGTTGCTCTTCAGTAGCCCGCGCACGGCGGGTACTGCAAGGGATGCATGCTTTGTCCTGGGTGTCTCCTCTGTAACCTGGGTAGGAGTAGGGGTTATTAGAGAAGCCTCGGCTTCTTGAGTTGCAGGTGTGATCTCAGAGGCCGAGGTAGGTTCAGAAGCTGGGGTTGGTTCAGACGCCGCTGCCGTTGATCCGTGTGGCGGGTCATCAGCGGGATATTTTCCATCTGCAACTTCGATGTCACAGAGTGCCTACCAAGGCCTGTTAGTATGGTAATTGCAGTGTGAATGTCGGATGGGCAAGAGTGAAGGTAGTACACACCCTTCCCGTAGGCACTGTATCATCTGTCTCGAAATGTAGTTTCTTGATAACGCCTTCGTATCTCGAAGTAATCTGGGTTCGTTAGCCATTAACCCATCCCATAATAAGGGAACAAAGGAGGTAGCACTCACATCGTCGACAGCTTTATCCGACTGATATTGGCACAAAGGCTTCCATTCCTCGATATGAGCCCCTTCCTCCACGTACCATTGAATGATCTGGACCTCGGTGATACCTAGCAATTGTGAGTGAACAAATTAAGAAATGAGGTGGTAATTAGATAGAGATTACCCTCGCCGACATCCTTTAGGACTTGTGATTTGATCCCCCATAGTAGAGAGCTGGCATGGAATCTTCGGGACAAGAGTGGAGGTAGGGTGGAGCGAATGCGGAGGCGATTCTGGGGTAGACAAGGTCTGAAGTTGCGGGCAGTGAGTCCCCCGCTGCGGCTGAAACTCATGGTTGAAAGGGCAGGGTGGTAGTAGCAAATTCAAAGGATGTTCTTTAAAATTCTTGAAGAGAAAAGGAGCATTGTGTCTACTTTATTTGGCACTCGAGCATCGACTGTTCTGCCCGCACGCCGATGCTAACCGACGCTACCCACGTGATCTCCCCGCATCTATGCAAGTATGGGACCCGCCACATAACTCTCATGGGTTTATATTGCCAGGCACAAGCACCATTGTTGAATCTATAGTTACTTTATATAGTATTTTTTTATAAATGAATACTGTTGAGTAACCTGTTACTATGTGGGGAGAAAGCAGAGGAAGAATTATTAATTGATTAAACTAGAAATGCAAGTGGGTTATATACCCTACTAAAACCATCTAAACTCTGCTCGATTATAGTAAACAAGCTGACAAATAGTAAATAACGAGCTTAGTTTGTAGCAAAACATATATATAGGAGATTGTTTAACAAATACGATATCTTGACTCTTGATTTCTTACTATCTTACTAACTGAATCTGAACTGAATCTGAACTGAATCTGAACTGAATCTGAACTGAATCTGAACTGAATCTGAATTGAATCTGAATTGAATCTATAAAGTGTATAGTATAGAAATAGTAAATGCTTCCAGAAGGCAGTAATGAACTAGGTGGTGAGGTAACAACCAATGAGAGAGTTATGTGTTGGGTGGCATACTTAGTCGCCCGTATATGGGGGAAGTAGGGGAACTATGGCCCTGACGTTATATTTTTTATTTCCTTGTCTTCTTTTTATATCGATACGCAATTATTGCTGCTTGATTATTGTAAAATGTCAATTGAAGAGTGTCAGCCAAACAAAGATCGCACGGACAGCTAGACAGCATAAGATGAAGTAGACTAAGGAATAGAGTTCAAATGGCCAGTTATATACTACCAGTAAAGACAGTTGGAGCAGAATTTGTATAGCACAAACAATGGGAATTGGTTTACTTAACTACAGTCCAAGACAGTTGGGCAGAATCCTCCCTGGGTGGCTGAGTGGGTGAGAGACACAAGGCCATCTGATTGCTGGATGAAACAATGAGCACGGGTGATACCGCATTGGGAAGTCCAGTTAATGGTGAAACCGGACAGGATTTCGATCCCGCGCTGGGAGTAATTGGGGTACGGATCATTTTTTTTTTTTTTTTTTTTTTAACCCTTCCTCTTCTTGCATTTTGCTTGACAGGAAAAGAGACCAGTATAAGACCATGATCCCATCAATCTATCTTTCTATCAGGCCAAGGAGCACCTTAGCCATCACATCAGGTTGATTTTCACGATCTGACAATCTTGCTATACCAATATAGGTGTAATGAGACGGATATGCAACCTCCGAGGTCAACTGCTGTCTATCCCATTATATGCAAGTACCACATCAGCTTGCAGATCTGCACCCAGGACTACCCAAAGTTTGTCTTCTCATATTCAACTTGTGCCTGTCAGTTACCCGAATCTGGGGGTTGCCCCTCGGCAATAACCACTGAGCTCATTTCCAATACTCCACTGCAAGAATCCGATTTACTTCTGCAAGGAACAAGAAACCTCGGGAATATCGGAACCCGTCCGAATTGTCCGCGTGTCAGATGTGGAGACGATATCAACATGATCGCCATACCTTAACTCAATACAGAAACTGAGGCCGACTTTGCAATGCCCGAAATCCACTATACTAGACACCGAGGTACTGGATGGCGAGGTACATTTGCTACAGAGGTCCTTAACCAGTTAAGCTATAGCAGTGCCAAGCGTATCAATAACGCTACATTACCAGGTACGTAGGTGGATTACGCCGGTGAAGAAGCTTGCCTAGGTATAAAAACATCCTCGGTCCCCCAACTCCTAGCCTTGTGCTTCGAGTTTCCAATCGCCTCAATCCCCTTTTTTACCGTGATCCAGCCATTATGGCTCCCCTGACCAAGACCCTGACCTCACTGGCCCTGGGTGCTGCTGTCGCCCAAGCCCAGCTGTTACGCAGTATGGCGAATTTGGGGAGATAAAAGAGTTGATTCTTTCTGATGGCAACTAACTCTACCCCTCCCAGCTGGTCAGCTGACTAGTCAGCTGACCGTGGGCAGGCGTATCAACTATGTTGTAGGTAACCCGTCTCGGCTAGCTTACTAGTTAGCTCTCCGGATATATACCTAAGTACGTAAATAGCTACTTATCGATAGTACGGAGTAATTCGGGGTGACGGCGAAAAGACCACGATTGTGCGTGGTCTTTTGAGGGGAAATCGTGGTCTTTTCACCCAGCGCTCGCGTTGGAGCATTGGATACAAAACTAGCCAAGTTAGCTTTAGCGCCCTTACAGGAGTAAGTATTCATCATACATCGACGCCCTCGGCGCGTACATCATGGATAAAAGATATAATTCCTACGTTACTCAGCAATTTTAGAGAGCTGTTGTATCGGTGTTGCCAGTCCAATTAGTGACTTATCATTCAAATTCACACCATCAATTTCCTTATAGCTTCACCGTGCTCATTATTAGAAGCGAAAATAAGCCCTGGCTTCAAACCTCAAGACTTAGCCACACGACACTCGTCACATCGATGCTTGAAATTCTGTTTTCTTGGTAGCAATTTTCCCATCGTGCAGAGGCCTTTGGTGACCTTGTCGATACATGGGAATAGCACAGTTTCCACGCATCCGCATCCATATCTGTAGGTGTATTGAAAGCACATGCTTATAATCTATATTAGCCTCCGTCTATACACTTTGGATTGATGGTATCGCGAACCTTAATAATAAAGGCCTATACAATGGTGCGTCGATTGCTTTCAATGGAGATGTGAGGCTCGAACTATTTGCAGACGAAGCAAGTCAGTACATATCTAAACACATAGCTCGCAGGCTCTTATACATCTTCAACTGCAGAGAAATGAGAGGCAGGTGCATAGAGCATAAGAATAAACCAACAATAGTGCAACTGTAAAGTAATCAATAAAGAATGATCCTACTTCAATCCGGATGTAGAGCAATGGATATATATATTACAAGCGAAGTTTCTCATTCCAGAAGCAGAGCTTATGCTGCCACCAATGAAACCTCGATCAAGCTTGATTATCAACCAAGTCTGACTTCTCAGCATTAATTTGGCGGTGGAGGCAGAACACCCGGCTTCTTGACGCCTGTTGTATCGTATATGCCACGTCTATAAAGCTCAATTTAGATTGCTTAAATGTCTCCAGTTACGGCATAGAACCTACCTAGCAATGGTTTCTTTAGGGCGAATCATAACTGATACCTGCATTTTGAGTAACTGTCGAATGGGTAGCGCAGAGTGATTTGACGAGATATAAAGATTTATCTCTTTATATATGAAGTCATTCTTGCAAAAGACTTGCCAATTTGCCCGAAGTAGTTCCTAGCAAGCTTGTAATGTCAGCGTTTGGGAGATACCTACTGTGAAGTATGTAAACGGTCCTCATTTGTGAAAGGAAGTCTAAAAAGGGTACCCAACTGTCTGTTGTGACTAGAAGATAGTTCCTGCTCAGATTGGGTAACACTGCCGTATGGCTAGTAGCTGGAGACATTTGTTTTCGAGATACAAAGATAATTTCTCCAGATTTACAACATAAATTATGAATCCGCCAGGCCAACCAAATGAGGGTTTTGAATGGGTGAACAGAATTTCGGGTTTCTCAATTGCAAACTTTTCACATTCAACCTGGCCCGTTTCCTCGCTTCGAAGTGCTTGGATCTGAAAGGATGCGGGCTGAACAGTCAGATTCAAAATATCTGTGATAAGAGTAGGAACGTTTGAATCTGAGTCAAGTCTATCCATTGCTTCGAGGAACATTCTTGCACTTTCTCTATTTTGGTATTTTGCGATTTGTTTGACGGCATGGCGAAGATCACGCGTCTCCATAAAATGACTTGTCAACCAATCCACAACTCCTAGTCGATTTAAGAAGAGCGCAGCGTTGTACGAATTGATCTTAGCGATGGATTTGCAATGCTCATGATCTTTCAATAGATACTCCAGGAATGGTTTTGGGTCTACACGGTCGGACCGTTCGATGTATGCCATAATGCTTCTCAGAAAAGTAGTTCTTTTTTCACCTTGGCCCGAAAGCAACGTCTCTTTCAGAGCGCGAAGACTGTTAGGGGTGTAGTGATTGAGTCGAGGGTCATGTTCATATAATGCACGCTCTTCTGGGAAATCCATGTCGACTAAGCCTAGTGTCTGATGTTTGGGTGATATTGAAAATGAGGATTGGATACTAGTCCTTTGGGTGAAACAAATTTTATATCAAGCATCTTGCCCCAATAATATATCAATACTAGTACCGAATGGCGTCCGCAAGCTGCATTAGACTGCCTTCTTTCACTATAACCTTTCCATAGTACAGCATTGCCTGCATTCTCCAAGACCCCGGAGATTGCAGGTAGAGATCTATCACCTGTCCGTATTCACCAAAACTTTGGCTTCAGGGACGAAAATTTCACAGCTTCTGAAAAGGGCAACAGCCAGACGGATGTAACGGCTTTCATCGGGGTCATAAACCCCATTGGCGAGGAGTCTGTTCTGTGCTGATTGAAAAAGGAACTGAATTTCTAGATAAGGCAAAGCCATGGACGGTCTGCGGCCCAATGTGTAGTTTCTGCGAAGGATCTTTTCAGTTTCACTGAAAATACACAATTTCATAATTTCCAACAATTAAGATGAAGTCATTTGTAGGCGAAATTGGGGAGCTTCAAGAGAAGAATTCACTCATTCATACAACAGGCTCCACAGTTTACCACGCCGAGAGATGAGAAGTGCGCCAGCTACAAAGAGAATAGCTGGGGCGACGGCCATGAGAACTCTAGATTCCTGGCGCAGTATTTTCTGTTGTCTTTCTTTCAAATCATGTTGGAGCTGCCCAATATCCTTATATTGTGATGTCCAGCATTTGTGAATAATCGCCTCGTAGTGATTCCCTCTGAGACATGGATACTGCCCGATAGAGTAAAGGTACTCTATCCTCTCAAATTCATCGTCGGGGATCTCATTGTAAGGGCGAATACCCGTAGTAATCTCAAAAATGAGACACCCAAGAGCAAAAATGTCAGTCGCCTGAGACCTCGGGGAGTCAGGTGTCGTACGGTATCGATCTTCTTCCTCTACAAGGGGAAGCTGATCGCCGATCGAAGACCCAGAGAAATCACAAAGTTTTATCGATAAGTCGTTAGCCACGAGGAAGTTCCGCGCGCTAATATCGGCATGAATAACGCCAGTACTATGAAGTGATGATATAGCACTCACGGCCATTTCAACCCACCGCTCTCGAGTTTCGGTTTCGATTTTTTTGTTGTAGAGTTCAAGGTATTCGCGTAGATTGCCGAGTCGCAAAAAGGGGAGGTGGATAGACGTATCCGTAATCGTGATGAAGTCGAGTATGTTGTCATTCTTTGGTAAAGCTCGGTAGATAGACTTTTCACGCTCAAAACATAACTGAGCATGCTCCTGGTTGTGCAGAATTGTAGCCCTAGTTTCTGTATCACAATTGCGAAGGTCATATCTGAGAGGGGCTTTGATGACTTGATCGGGAAGACAGGAATTCTGACAAATGATCCCTGTAGCCCCAGTAGCTATGATGCGAGAACCACCCTCTGGTCGAAGAATTATGGGGTATTGGTCCATTATGAATTTGGCTCAAGCGGTCCGAAGTTGACCTCGGAGAGGATTGGACCATGTATTCTATATCTAAGATCACATGACTATCATTTACCCCCTGGCTGGAGGCGGCCCGTGCTAATATTGGACCATCTAGTTAGGTTTAGTGTTATTTCTCTTAAGTAGGGCCGAAATAATGGAGATTGCCAATCAAGGGGAGAAACGAGGCTCAGCTTTCACGCCCTTGACACTGACCAGTTTTCTAACTTGAACTGAAAAACATTGGCTCTCGGTGATATCAGAAACTAGATCGACGCTTGGTTTGATTGCAGTTATTCTAAATACAAGACAAGGGCAATTTCCAAGGGTAAACGCTGGCCTAGCGGTGTACTGGTAAGATGATGCTTGGATTCTAGCCAAGTGACCATTCCGTCGAAGTTGTTCCAGCTTCTCGTTCTCAGGAGCTCCTCTGACTGGGGTAAGCGTATGTATTGGTATGGAGAGAATTGGCTACCTACAGGACAGTCGGGACAGTTTTGCTGACGGTTTGTTTTAAGCCCAAGCCATTTTTCCTTCATGATGATACCGCAGTCGGGGTCATCGCATGGCTCCACTGAGCTTATATCCTTTCTATGGCCACATTTATATTTGGTAGGAGCGTGAATCATGGTGCACATATTGGATATCTCGTGCAGGAGTTGACTGGTGAGGGAAACAGTGACAGCCGTAACGTGTGTCTTTAGGACCTCGGGGGCGGGCCCACGATAATGAAAGATATCGAGTAAAAATAATTTTTTTGCCTTGAGTGATGATGGGTATAGTGATCAATTTATTTGATACCTCCCTAACAAGCTAGTCAGCTTATGATTTGGGCTGTTGTACTCTAGCCACTGTGACTTCCGCCTCTAAATGTCGGTAATCTTTGAAAGCGCAATGACTTCTTAGAAGGGTTACATATTGTCGGAATGGGGTTTGAAGACGGTCTCATGATTGTGTAGACCTTTGATGGGCAGCTCTAAGTTCCTTCTAGCAGACTTGATATTATGTAAGCTTTGCGAAAAGCGATTGAGCAAGATGGAAGCTCTCTAGCTCATTAGTGACTATTATTAGGTCGATGCAAATATTTGAAATTATAATCACAGGAAAAGAAGACGTTGATCATTGCTACTTTTGACTTTCAAGGCGGCTACAGCGAAGGTCCTCGTAGGTCTAGACAGGGGAGATAATGCGTCTGAGTGGCGCATTTGTAAACTTAGGATATGGTGACATGTCATAATACATATCATGAGGACTAACCAATTTCAGATGCCAGCAATGCGTTCACCCCCAAAATGGACTTTCTCTCAAGGTCAGATATGCAGTATTTGACTGGCGAGTGGTGAAACCAAGAATCTCATCTGAAAATATCGTATTGAACACTCTTCCACCATTGCAGTTTTTCAAAGCCAGGGCGGACTGCTCTGCTTTCCACTCGCACACCAGCAATCATGGGGATTGGAATGATAGGGCTTAGGGCTTACTTACTGGGCCAACTTTGCGAAGACCCTCAACCCCAACAGTGGCGGCTCCTACAATGGTAGCAAGTCGTTACCGCATTGGAGCCCCAACAGTGCGGATGGTACCCAGGTTGTCATGGAACTGGGTAACCAGTTCAAAAATGTGCCCATTGCGAAGCCAAAGCAGGTGAAGTTCATCATGGACTACTTCCACCAGCAGGTTCCCTACTAGGTGTCTTCCTTCTGATTGACAAGCTTTGTAAGGGACAATTCAGGGACCCCAATGGTTCAATAAATACATAACAGATGTATGTATGTAGTCAATATATACTATGTTTTATGAAGATATATCCATGGTAGGCGTGAATCGGACCAAGGTTATCAAGTCGATGACCTCAACTTGGAATAATCTGGAGAATATTGACAACATTGAACTTTTCCTCTCATAGTATAAGACATTCAGAGAGAATGGCTTCAATCCAAGCAAATAATGAAACAAATGCGTACAGTATGCAACAGTACAGAGTAAGCCCGAGGATATTAGGCCTAGATCGTTAGGGCCGATCTAGGCGCGACACTAATTGTCTGCATCATATATTGTAATTATTATATATATACGCCAGCGGCTCTCAACCGTCTGCCCCGGACCTATAGAAACCTTCTCATTGGTCCCAATCCCTGTTCGCTGGCTTATCTAAGCCCGGTTCTGCCCTTCTGATTGGTCTATAGCTCTGTTCGGCCCGGTACGTTGGCCTATCTATGCTAATTGTGCACCCTATCAAATCTATCTACTAATCTTTAACCCCCTATATCTACCCTTTCTATCTATCTATTTAACTTTATTTTAATATCAATATAATCGTTAGGATTAGCTTTATAAACTAAGTTATTTTTGTTTATATACGACCGGTAGCTGTTGTTATTTTAGCCGTTTTGTAAAATTTTAATGTTAATACTACTATTCGTCTAGCTACGTTAGCCTATTTATACTAACTATATACCCTATTAAATCTATCTACTAGCTACGTTAGCCTATCTATACTAACTATATACCCTATCAATAGCTCTACTACCTTCGTTATTCTACCTAATAGGCGGCGATATATTATATTATATTATAATTTATCCTTATTATATATTCCTCGATTAGTTTATATCTCCTTCTTTATAAATCTCCTATCTTTATACGCTACCTCTATAAAACTAGCCCTATCTAGAAGTTCCTATCGGTATTAATAGTTCGTCGCTTCTTAGCTAAGCTCCTAGTATAGTTCCTTCTTTATAAAGTTACGATACTTCTTAATTCGTTCTCTCGCTTCGTTCTTAACTTATTATATTATTAGTCTATTAAGTATATTCGAATTATCTTACTCGCGATATATACTTACGAGGAACCCGCCGTCTATTATATATTAGTATCCGACGTAGCGCCTTAGGCCTATATATACGATCTTATCGAAGTAATAGGTTATATCCCGTAATATAATATTATAACCGTAATAGACGTAGATATAATCGTCTCGGTCGCCTAGAATTTGCTAGGTTTAGACTACCGATATTATTATAATTTGTTATTAAGATAGTATAGTTATATTAACTAGATAGTTATAGAGGGGGGATATAGAGATTATATACCGCCGAGGGGTAGTATAACTAGCTATTAGCGTATAGATTAATATATAATCCGAGTCTCCGAGTACCTATACTATATTATACGTCTAATTCGTATTACGGCTTACTTTCTTATATATAATATATATATCTATAATTAACCCCTTTTTAACCTAATTTCTCTTCTACCTAAAGTATCTCTACTCTACTAACTTATTTTTATCGTACTCTTTAGATATATATAACGCGTCCTATAATTTCGATAATTTATATAGGAATAATAATCCTATTTTTTCGTTTTAACCTCGCCTCCCTAATTCTATATATCTTCCGAATAATCCTTTCCTATTAAGCGGTATTAATATTATATATCTTACCTAAGGATAGGCGGAGTATATATCCTATCCTTTACCTATAGTAGCGTATTACTCTATAACCCCTCCTATTAGCTCCCTCCCTAGCGTTTCGAACTATATATATAATCTTCCTTTGTCTATTACTAATCCTTTACTAGATTATCCGGCTTCTTTATCTTACCCCTTAGGAACTTTATAGTAGTATCTAGTATATATTTCTATACTACCTATAGGTTCTCTATTATATTACTAATCTTTATAGACTAATCCTATATTTACTATAGTACCTATCCCTAATCTCGTATAGTCGAATCTCGTACGTTTAAGTCTTATATAGTCGAACTCTCTACCTACCGATATTTTTATCTTACCTCTTCCTACCGGTCCTATAGAGCCTTCTACGCCTAAGATTCTACTTAATAATTATAACCCTACTAGCCCGAAACGGCTTAAGCGCTTTAACTCTACTATAGACTAGTTAGTTTATAAATAGATCCGTTCCTATATCTCTAGGGACCGGTTTTTCCTCTATAAAGGCTATATCGCGCTTCTTAAGTTCGTTATTCTTTAGGGCGGGTATTCTAAGGGAAGGCTACCTATCGACTATACTATATTTGACGACCTTAAGGAGCTAAGGTTTACTTTAATAGCCGGCGCGAAGTACGTAACCTATTATAAATATATCCTCGATAGGTATTAGGTATAGTAATCTCTTTATTCTACTATATATTATCGCTTTTATATTTAGCTTATTATCTATCTCTAGCTCTAGCTCCGGTTTTATCGTATAGTATTCGATATTAAGAGGTAGAAGGTAAATCACTCTTAATATAAGAAGCGAGACTCTATAGTCGAGTTAGAAAGGAAGAAGATTAATAGTATAGATAAGCCTAATACTATAGCTAGGTATATATATTAAATTAAAAGGTAATAAATATAAGTAGTATTAGTATAGTTTAATATTATATATTATTATTATATATAAAATAATATTATTTACCTAGCTCGAATATATAGGCTCTTCTTATACTATACTCGTATATTATATATATATTATATAGTATTATCTCTTTTAAAGGTTTAGTCTTTTAATTATTATTAGATAAATACTAATATTATATATACTTTTTTACCCCGGATTAATCGGTAGCTAGCTTTCTACTCCTTTAGTATTAGTTTTATCTTTACTATCTTTATCTATACTTCTTATTCTTTTCTTTATATTAGTTAAAATATTCCTCTTAACTCCTTATATCTCCTCTATATAGCCGTCTACTACCTAGCCCTTTATATCTATTTTAGGGGGGCGAATCTCCTACGCCTACGCCTAAGCCTAGGTCTCCCTTTAATATACTAATAGGCTTTATCTTAAGTAAAGAACTAGATCTTATTAGGACGTATATATCTTAGGCTTCTATAATTATACTTATCTTATCGGGTTCGCCTATATATCTACTAGATAAGGGTAGGAGCCCTATTAATATTTTAGGCTTAGTATACTAGATAGATAAGACTCCTATTATATTATTACGACCTATTCCTCGCTTATAGCTTCCTACTTTATTACCCTAACCTCTTCCTCCTACTTTACTACCGCAATCTCTTTCTCCTACTTTACTACTGTAATCTCTTCCTTCTACTTCGGTATAAGTATTTAGTCGGCCTCTTCTAATTTAGCTCTATTCTCTTCGTTCTAGCTATTATTAAGTCGGTCGAGTATATCTAGGTACTCTATATACTATCTATCTTACTTAATATTATATTTAATAAGCGTATCTAGGACCTTCCTTCTTAACTACTTCTAATCCGATATATTATATCGGTTCTTACTTCGGGTAAGAATAGTACCTTAGAGGAAGATAATAATAGAGGCCCCTCCGCGATTACGTAGTACCTAACTAACGTTAGTAGGTTCGATAGTATTATATAATATAATATTAACGTACCGGTATATAGTTCCGTCCTAGATATTAGTATCTTTTATATAATAGGCCTAGCTAAGCCCCCTAGTAGGGAGGAAGATCTTAGTAATATAGTAAATCGCGTATTATATAGGACTATTCCCGAATATACTTAATATAGACTATCTCGGTCTTTATAGTCTCTTTATATCTAGTCTATCTATATTTCGAATATCTAATCCGGGATACTTACTCCGGTTATTCTATCGACTCTCGCTTTCTCTTCTATATCGATTCGCCTTAGCGATTAGATTATTATTATTCGGTTTACCCCGGTATATCTCGGGTATCGGACTCGAGAAGTCCTAGAAAGAAATTATTATAAAATATAGATATTATTACCTCTATAATACTATCTACTAGGCGGCGTAATTCGGCTTAAAGAGTATAGATAGGGACTATAGATCCCTTATATATTTTCTTTACTAAGCTATTTACGGCGTCTTCGATTTCTTTAGACTTCGATTATTCTATACTTTAAAAGGTATAATAATAATATAATATAATAAATAGGATCTAAATAAGATCGAATAGGTAATAAATAAGTACTAGTTTCTATAATATATCCCTCTTTATATATTATAGCTTCCGGCTAATTATATTATTTAGGTCTTATTCCTATATTAGATATAGTATATATATTCTATTCCCGAGTTCTAGGTAATAAGATATTAATAGTATAAACTAGCTCTATCTTTTATCTTAGTTATTTTTAACCTATAATCGAATACGATATATATAGATATATATATTATAGTAGTACCCCTAACTAATATTCCTATTCGCTATCTTTTTTACTTATTTTTTATTTACTATTTCTATCTATCTTCGTTAATTCGCTATTAAGTAATACTATAGCCCGCCCTCGGATATTTAGGACTTATAAGGCCTATCTAGATACCTACCCTTTTATAGACCGGTCTATATATTATCCCGACTATCGTGCCTAACGTACTAATATCTTATATATCGGGACTACTATAAAGGATTATCGTAACTACGATAATACCTTTACTTCTTAGAAGCGGGAGGCCTAATACGCGCTACATCGGTTAATTCGCTAGCTAGCTGCGGCCTAGGCGGCTCTTTAGACCTTTCTATATAATCGCTACTCTACTTACCTCCCGAATTCTTATCGGCTATCCCGCTATAGGTCCTATATTACTACTCTCTATACCGAGTAGGATTCTACTTATAGGCTTAGGGCGTCTTAGCGGCTTTATTAATAGTAGGAAAAGCTCTCGCTAAGAATAATAACTAAGAAATACGATAAGTACGACGTATTTTATTAGCGAGCTAAGATT